GTCACTTATGAGGATTGTTAATTAGAATATTCCGACGGGTTAGTTATTCTACCCAAGCGGCTTGAATTGAAGAGAAGAGAACATTAAAGTTACAACTGAGTACAAGCTTAAGCCTGATGGAAGCGTTGGTCTTGAAGGATTAAAGGGTGTATTCGCTAAAAATGGCACACACATATTTACTCACCGAAATTAAACCTATTATCGGATTTTCTTGAAATGTTCAAGGAATGAAAAACTACTTTAGTCTCCCATCCCAAATTCCCGCACCTTCCTTTTCACTCCACCCATCAAATTTTGTACAACCGACTTTCCCGGTGTTTTTATTGGTTTTACCCAAATTTTCTTCAACTCCAGCTTTGTTTTAATAGTTTTGGGATGTTTGCGAAGTTCCGTCTTCATAATTGCCCAGAATTTATCAATTAGGCAAAATTCCGGTGAATTTGGTGTCTTCAAGTCTTTTGGCACAAAATTGACTCCGTTGGATCGGTACCACTCCAACACGTTTTGAGCGTAGTGGCAGGATGCTAGATCAGGCCAAAACAGAGTTGATCCTTTGTGCTTCCTTATGAATGGCAAGAGACGCTTCTTAAGGCAATCGCACTGTTGATTGTTCCGGAAGATTGAAGGGAGCGCTTATTTCACAACATCCGCAAATCGCCTGCCAGATCAGGTACTTCTCCGGAACATCGAACTTAGACTTGGCAACAAAATATTATTGCCCAGGAAATTGACGGAAGTCGGCCTTGATGTAAGTTTCGTCATCCATCACGATGCAACCGATTTTGTGAACAAATTCGTGTAAAGTTTCCGAGCGTGGGTTTTCACAGTGATGTTTTGCTTTTCATTCCATTGTTTGGGCTTTTTGAACCTTGTAAACATGTAACTCAGCATGCTTCATGGTTTTCTGCACAAAACCGACTGACACTTCGGACTTTTTAGTGACATCTCGAATTGACATGTTTTGACGGTTCTTGAACTGTTGCACCACTTTCCTGGCCATTTTACTGTCCATTGGACCACTTTTACGACCACTTCCTTCCTTCCTTTGAGCTTTCAATACGCCTGGAAGGTTTTCTATCACACGAGACACAGTTGTATTTGCAATTAAAAGCTTTTTAGCGATCCATCGGTGGAACGCCTCTGGATTTTGATTGTAAGTGCACAACATATTTTCACGGACAATTTCTTGTTTCGACGACATGACTGGAACTACTATATGAATAACTATGAAACTTGACAGACGTAAACAATACACTATGGATAAGATTTACTCAAATGTTCAGGTTGTTTACTCATATAGTTCAAAATTTACAGAAGATTTTCGGTGTGCCATTTTATGTAATACACCCTTTAGTTGATGTAGAATGAAATAGTGACAAGGAGCAGAGCAGTTTCAATTCCAGTATCGTTTTCAAATTCGGAAGTGGTGCAATCAACTGTATCGTTAGAAAGCAGCAATGTGTTAGCTTGCCGTAAATAGATGCAGAATTTTACGAGTCCAGCTACGATACACGAAGACAACCATTGATATGCTGTCATCTAAACAAATCAGGTAGTCAACGGAACAAGTCATCGATTCTCGATTCAACTTTCAATACAAATTTCTTCACAACAATGACAGACGTTGTCATTGCAACCACATATAAAATTTTGACAGCATTCTGAATACTGAACCAAAGATAGAGCGATATAAAAGAAACTCCAAAGTATCTCATAGTAATTCTTCATAATCTTTGGACAATCTTCATATCATTTGCGCAACCTCTAAAACTTCTAAAATCATTACCATTTGATGCCTACATGGCATGGATAGAAATCCCCTTATATCTTTTGGTAGATTTCTATTGCTGATTATTCATAAAAAGTATAAGTCAACTAATAAGCAGACGTCTTCCAAAAAGGTAATGAAGATCTTGTGTCAAATAAATTGTATAAATCTAGACTAACATTTGAAAGGGGCGGAAGAGCCAAAATGTAAACAAACCATATTTTGGCACATATAGAGAGAACAGTTCACAAACTACTCGATAAACACGAAAAAGTAGAAGAAAATATCACTTCATATCATCAAAAACGTTTCTTCTTACATGGCGTATTTCCAACTTTCAACTCGATGATGCAACTGGTTGTTACGCCTTGCACCAGAACAACGTTGTTTTAATATGCCAAACGTATTGATTCTGTAGTATCTAGTCACGCCCGAATCATTTGAAACACATCCAATTGATATTTCACGTGTAAACAACAAACAGAAAGAAGATCAAAAAATCTCCGGGCGTAATTCCACTCTCACAAAATTTACGAACGAAGAACCAAGGCGGAACAACAAACAAAAAATCCCGATGGTGTACTTCCACGGCGTATCATCAGTGTTGGCAGTTCAAAGGATGGAAGATCTGGAGGGTAACAACATGTAAGAAATTATCAGGGCGTATGATGTTTTCTTCTCAATTTCACGACAAAGAAAACTTTTTTTGAGTTTTAAGTGATGCATGATGATAGATTACACTATTAACTATATGTCAAGCTTATAAAATCATCCAGAAAATGGAAGGTCGTGAAATAGGATTAATTTTTAGGTCATCAAATTCGGAAGCGATTTTCTCGATGTGGTAATTTTGGAGTTCCGCCCTTTTCAAATGTTAGTCTAGAAATGGTCACCGTTTACCGTTTATGCATTCTTTTAGGACCTATGTGGATTGTCTTATGGAATGTATAAAGCTGACGGTTTGGCAATTATGTATAAGTGAAACACTTGAATAAAAAGATTAATTTTCGTTCCGTGTAGTGCTATGTATTAAACTGGGTGTGGGTCTTAATGATTTCGAATATTTAGCATACTAATGGAACAACAATGCGGGTACATTCAATGTACACAGAAAATGAAAATTACCCAAAGTTTGAGTTTAAACAACCCAAAATTAAGTAAAACCTTTATAGTATCCCATTGGGTAAAAATCAATGTGTTATGATGGTTTATTTTAACTCAACGGTTGAGTAATACGTATATTACCTAGAGATGAGTAAAAAACATACGGAACTTTTGTGGGCCTCAATTTACTCAACGCTGAGTAACTTACTATAAAGCTTGTGTTGAGTGAAAATAACTCTGAGTTGGATGAAAAAATACTTCCACGACGACGCCATTTGTGATTTTGCTCCCTTCGAATGAAGTGTTCAATCGCGTACGACGTCCGGAAGTTTTCTACCGCCATCGGTTTTGTTATTCCTCCATTGAGCGGTCGATTTATTACTTAAAACGCGAGTGGTTATTCATTCTTTTACATAGAAGTACCCGACGAGAAGAAAATCTTTTATTTTTTTCGTTCCATCTGGATTCTTAGTGAAGTTTCCTGTGGCTGTTCCATTCTCCTTCGACACCTTCGGTTGTTTGGTTCCGAATCCGTTGTGTATTGCCATACACCGACGTAATCTGGTGAGTTGTGAATCCTAAGCGCTAGTGGAGCGCAGATAATTGATTTCATTTCTGTTGTTTTCTTTTATTTTTAGATATCCGGTACCTACAGCTTCCAGCACGACATCAGTTTCTTGATTTCCGTCCGTTTTTTGATTTGGTTCCTCACGGTGGCGACCGTATGAAGATGGAACAATTAAAGAAAATGGTGGATGATGGGAGCTTTGATCAGTTAACATAATATTTTATTTGTTTTGTTCGTTGTGTTTATTTTTTATTTATTTATTTAACAGTTGAATTAATGACAATAAATATGTTGTTGTCGTCACGGTTTTTATTGTTCTTTATTTTTGACATCTATTCCGGATTACGTGCTCGTAATTAAAAATCCCGGTGAAATAACCCATGGTTGAGTTAATTTGACCCAAAGCTAGGTTTTTTTATTCGGAAAAAGTGGCCGGTAAAACAACCTATCGTTAAGTTAAATTTACCCAAAATTAGGTTTTTCCTTATTGATTAAATTTACCCACTGCAGTCTTTTCTATCATTTACCCAAAATTAGGTTTTTTCATGTTTACCCAAAATTAGCTTCTCGTACGGAACTTCGAGGTTGAGTCAAAAGAACTCTAATTTGGGTAATTTTTTATTTCTGTGTAGGATTTATATGCGGGTACTTTCAATATGGGACGCACATGACTTGGCATTTTTTCAAGTTTTCTCTATGCAATATTTTAATTTTCAGTCTAATCTTTTAACTTACGATAAAAATAAACATAATTCCTGAGGTTCACTTAAAAGTGATTAAAAATCAAATACAACAAATCTACTGGCAGTACTTACAACGAACTTGAGAGTACCTATAAGCAAGTTTTTTTTTCAGAATGAGATGATTTTTTAGCTGTAGTGCAACAAACTTTGTTCGAAAATTTAATAACAATATCAAATTTATTAAAAAAAAACCTTTCGACGACCAAATTACAAAATATGTTCACATTAAAAATTGTATACCCTTTTAATGCAAATCTGTAACAGCATCTTACATTTCCCGATTCGGTGTGAGGAAAGCAAACTTTGTAAAACAGCTGTAATTCGGTGTTACTAACATCAGCCACTGAACGAAAAACATTTCTGTTTTGTGTCCGTCAATTGGTTTGGGTGTACTCCTGATTCTTTTCACGTACTGGTTGTAGTACTTGTTACTTCTCAATGGACTGCTTCCGAGTCAGAATAGAACTAATCGTTCAAGGCTGACTTATTTTTACAATTGCTCACATATTCGATCGTGTCGAGAAGACCAACGCAACGCAAAAAAGGTCTCAAACATGTTGTCCCATTATCACAAAAGCACACGCTGCTTTCGCAACAAGACTAGGTGACCTCACACCGAACTGACTGCATTGTTGACATCATCCGATGGATGAGTTTTTGCTACCATTATTATTCCTCACGTGCGTACCTGCGGTTGAGATTGTTTCAGTCTGTTCATGTATGGGGAAATCCAGAGGTAGAAACTGCCCAGTAAATCCAGCAATAATCATACCTTTGTGCTACCTAAGGATGAGAAGGAAATCTAAGTACTACTCACCAAAACAAACTAAGAGTTCTAAGCTGTTATCTTGGAACTTATCGTCATCGTTACAGCCTAGTCCGCTTTACTTGTGTTATCTTCTGCACGCTTATCTATATGCAATCGAGTGATACACTTCACCAGTCAGGAACGAAGAGGATACCGAGTCGTTTTGAACTTTCAATTGAAAGTATAAATTCCTTCAACTCCGTAAATTGCAATCACTTAACAACTATCATTTATTTCTTCTTCTCCAATCGAACACTGCTTTCCTTCATGTATTATTACACACAATCGCACAATCTCCACTTGGTAGGTCGTGTTGCCAACAGTGAGAGTTGGATTAATTTACATTTGCTGCTCCATCCATATCTATACAGGTCGAAATTTATGCTTCAGATTTTCACCATTGCACACACTTTCGCATTGGTCGAAGCACATCATATAATAAAACGGAAAATCACCTCTCACTTATTTGATGAATATTAACTTCGTCGTCGTGGTCGTCGCTGTTGACTGTCCCATATGTGCTATGTGGCTGCTATAGCACTGTGTGTACTCGTTCTTCACGTACCTACACATCAAATTGAGCTTTGTTTCATCGGAATTCTTTCGCGTTTTCATACACATCCAGCGATGATTATACGTGGTCTCACCTTGTCCAGAAAAATGGAATAATTTCTCCACAGTTTTCCACTAATCACCAAAATATGTCTGAATACTTTCGTTTAAACTCGCACCAACCCGAGAAAATGTTCGAAATCTTAATTGTAGCTGCACGACGGGTTCTGCGGAAATATTTACAAATAATATCGATTGGTTTTCATTGCTTCCTACGAACGCTCGCCACTCACACGTCCCACGAATAATGCGAACCTCACTCCGAAAAATCACTGAACGAACTGGATGATCTACACAGGCTGAACCAGTGATGATGGCAAAACAGAGCACACCACACGGTCCGTGCTTTTCCAATAGGACTGCATACATACAGAGATAGCGCAGAGCCCTCATCCCCAATCATACTACTTCAACTCCTACGCTCACCGACTCGCGCTGATATGCTGCTTATACTCGCTAAAGCTCACTTGCACCGAGGTGAGTGACAAGCAGCGTGAGTAGTGAGTTTGTTAGTCACCAGATAGGCGAAATTGCAAGATTTTCGGCGAGTTATTTGGTCGCGATGATTTAAATTAGTCGTTTCAAACCTACAATTTGAGGGATTATTTTGAATTGTATGCACTACTATACTCTTTACAGATCATTCAATCGAGTTGGATGGGTGCTAAATATTGGGCCTAACTTTTCTTTATTTTCAACAGATGAGAAACATATCGTTCAGCCTGGTTTGTTTTTAAATATAATAAAAAATGTACACACATAAACTGCAGTTTATTTTTAACCATGACCATAATTATTTGGTTCTTTGTGCGTATTTAGCTGGATTGGTCATCGAAGTCGTGAGTGGCTCCTTCATATTAAAGAATTTTAGAGTCACAATAATAATAAAATACACACAAAATAACGTCTTTCGGCAACATACGGGGGTACAAAATTGAAAACAGTCATTTTGGATGCGTTACGAAAAATTAAAAGATTTTGAACGATAATAACTCAACCGTCTCTCGATAGATTTACGAGATAATGGCATCAATCGATTGGAAATATTTCTAGCAATTTGCTGAATGTTTCAAAACTATTGATTTCATTCTGTAAACTATTGAAAAATGGTTAAAAGTAAACCATTGTCTAAAGATGGTGAAAATCGATTGATTTTTTTTATATTCTTATACTTTCTCCAACCGAGACATCAGATGCGAGTATCTGACACCTCTGATATTTTTTGTTCTACTATATAAGCGTCCAACAAGGTCGCCCGTTCCATCATTGTCTATCCGATCGTCGACCCAGCAGCAGAGCAGCAGAGAAGCAGTACCAGAGCAGCGGAAGCAGAGCAACGGCAGCAGAGCAGCGGCAGCAGAGCCTGGGGGCGAAAGGGCAACTACGCCGAGTGCGTTGGTGCCAGTGCTCCGGTATACTGGGCCGCCGTCATGGAATGCCCAGCTGCTGCAGTTCTCAGTCGGTCGTATTCACCGTCTGCTCCGCAAGGGCAACTACGCCGAGCGCGTTGGAAAAATGGCCCTTTTCAGGGCCACAACATTATCAAGAAAGAGTTTAACGTACGTATGGGAGTATCTGACACCTCTGATATTTTCTGTTCTACTATATAAGCGTCCAACAAGGTCGCCCGTTCCATCATTGTCAACAACATCAGCCCAACAAAACGGCCCTTTTCAGGGCCACCAAACTTTCGCAAAAGAGTTATTAAGGAATATTCCTAAAATATAATATACACAATTAAGTACAACACATAACAGACGTTATCCAACGCCAACCCTGCGTTCGTATCTAGTATACAACCCTTCCAACTTTTTACAAAAAAGATTTATTCTTGATATCAGAGTCTCATTCGGCTTTTATTAATTATTTTACATAATTTTACACTGTGGTCTAGAATGGGAAAGTAGCAGCCCGTCATAATATTCATGTGATTTTGTGGTGGCATTTGAAGCTACACTGAGCGAATTTACCATGTCGTGATTGCATGATTAATCATTCAGAGCTATCCGATTTCTTTAACATCGAAAATAATATGAGATACCCGTTTGACTGATAATTGACATTAAATGGGATGATTCATCATACATATCATAAAAGAAACTAACATCAACCACTTAATGAAGTACCGTTCAAATTTTGAAAGGTATTAACAAAAAATGAATTCAAGAACAGAAATGAAGTAAAATCATCCAAGTTAGCCCCATGACGAAAATCATACAACAACTGTCATGCGATTCATTTTCATATCGTTTCAGTTTCCCGTTGCGTTTTGGCTTCGCCATTTTATATTCGCAGCTGGATGAACGCGCACTGAGCAAAGGGGCAACATTCGCAGTTTTTGGTGAAAATTAGTGAAAAACTGTCGCAAAGTGGTGCAAAATTACTGCCGGAAGCCGCGAGAAGCAGCTGGTGCCAAGTGTGACCGCAGAAAAGGTGCATTTCCGATCGGGGAAAGATTGTGCGAAAGATTCTTTCGGGCTGCTGCTGCCGTCGTGCTAGCCTTTCTCCGCTGCTTTTTGGCTGGTTATTTTTTTCCTATCTGTGCGTGGGGTTTCGTCCGACGGACGGACGGAACAAGATAAAAAGCAGCTAGAAACTAACAAGCAATTCCGATCGCAAAGTGAACGGCTAGCGTACGGACGGACAGGGAGCGAGGAATAAAATTGTCCGCCTGCCATGGCTGCCCCGTAGAAGCTGGCGCTGGCTGATCCTGCCTTGATGCTGCTGCTGGATTGTTGTCCGGTGCAAGGTGTGGTGTGGGTTTTTTTCTGTCGGAAAGAAACTGTTGTAGGACGAGAGACCACCGAAGAATTTGGAATAACACTATCCGGCGGACGGGAAGACCAGCCAGGCGACCGGTAAGCGATGATGATCTTTTTGTTTGTGGTGGATATCACGATGGAACCATCTATGGCGAGGTTTTTTTTAATGGAAAACATCGAGAAAAAAAAAACTTCCAAAACCCCCCACGAAATATTTCGACCGACTCCACTTTTCCTAAAGTTATTGAACATCATTAATAATACATAGGTATATTTCCAATCCTAGGAATCAGATGCAGGAGTACCTTCCCAAAGGTCTCCAACGACTTTCGCTAGCTGTGAGATTCTTCAGTCATTACAAAACATTGACCACATGGCACTGAACTTCGTGCTTGACCTCCACAAGCGACGCAACATAACACGGAAGGGTGTTCTTGATGTCCAGACTAGCGTCAAGAACTTATATAATCACCTTGAAAACCTGATCCGCTCCATAGAACCTTTGCAGGCATGCGACCCACAAACATAGTATATTACAGACGTTTATCTACAAAAAAATGTCTTCAATGTTTGATTTCATTGATACAGAGCACAAGTTCTTTAAGTTTCTTATAGAGGCGGACCTTTTCAGTAAACCGAGAGTATTTATTGCTAAAAACGGTAGTATCGATGAAGCAGGAAGTGACACGAACATAAAAACTACACATTTAATCTTAATGAACGTAGAGTTTCAAATCAGAAAATTTCTCGAAACCGAAGATGTGCAATTTTGTCAACGGAGCGCTGTATCAAAACAATGTAATGACAATTTTCGATGGCCCTCCTTTTACATTAGAAGAAATGGGAAAAAAGGTATGTTTCGCAGAAAAATATATCAAATAAATGAATAACATTATTGTTCAACTTGTAAAACAAAAGCGTTTCATTTACAACATTAATTTACTGTTCCAACGATTTAGAACAGATATATTTTGTTATGATCACAATGTTTAAACTGTAAAATAAGCTTTCTTCTTTTATATATTTTTCATTCAGATTGCACTTATATTTCATTTGAACATTACATGACAATTTATTTTGAAACTGTATGACGAGTCCGTTTCATTCTCAATGTTAATCATACGGTTTGTTCATTGCAAGTCTTCCTAAGAATGGATGATAATCATGCTGATTTAGAACTGATGGTTTACAGTGTGCAGAATGAAAATCATCCTGTTTTAGAATTGATGCTATTCAGTTCTTCTGTGCTTTGAAAGCTGAATCAGAGAATGATAATCTTTCTCAAATAGAAAAATAATCCGTATGGGGCTCAAGTGAAGCAATAATCATACATTCATGTGTGGACAATTTGGTTCAGTGTATGTGATCACAGGAAAGCTATGTGAAATTCCCATGACTTTCATCCATTAGATATGTGATCAATTTTTTGAGTGTGGATTTTACAGGTACCCGGTTCAAGCTTCAGTTGGCTGCGGTGGTTCTTATTTACGTTCTATTTCCTGAATGATTAGTGCGAATAAAGGCGTCTATGTGATGTCTTGCTGTACCTGTTATGGACATTAGTACATCCTTTTCCTTAAACTTGTTGAGCACTTGCCTCAAAAGTTATCGTTTTTGAAGTACTGATCTTCGCAACATAAAGGCCGCCACTCCGGAGCCTGAGATTTGATCAAACTATTCGCAGTTATATCTAGACAAACATTTCAAAAGGTCCTATCTGTCATTGAAGCTGATTGGAGAAAAATTGATTTGAACTTTTGCAATATATTTTTAAATGCCTTTTTTAATTACGACATAAAACGATAATCTTTTGTATTCTCAAATGCATAGGAAACACATAGAATTCGACTGAAGTGTATGTTTCTTCGTTTTATTCATAATTTTCAGGTTTAATTCGTGGTTTTGTTACATAGGACCTTTGGCTTTTTTCTGTATCAGTTAGGACCTGTCAAATTGGTCTGATTGCAAAGTCAATGTTACTTAGGACCTTGGTAAGAATACGGTTTAGAGGTCAGATAATTACAACTACATCATTATTTGTAATTGTTGATGGGCTTAAAATTACTATTTTGCCAATTTATTAAGTAAACTACGTTTATAATAAGAACTTGTCCATTATTTTTTTCTGATGTATGCAGGAAAAATGTAAGTGTATGGAAAATTTGCATATTTTTTAATATTCGGTATATTTTTATAAACAAACTCTGTTTTTTTCATTCTACATCATTCGTTTTACATTTATTAGCTCAAGCTGTTCATCAATAATTTACATTCATTCATGTTATTCGATCAAATCTACATCGCTGTCCTCCAGTGGATTGAGATCCACATCAAAGTGGTCTACAACCGTATTAAAGGGTGATACGGTCAAAATTTGGTCAATATCAACTTGACGTATTTCTTTCAATTTTGCATTTAAAAAACCTGAACACCCCTCATTTTGAAGGTGTGTGTGTGTAGAATGTTGCACCTATTTTGATTTTGGAATTCACTCTTCAGTTGTCAAAATGCCGTCCAAGCAAAAAGAGCAGCGTATCAAAATTTTGCTCGCGCATCGCGAAAAATCTCGCACGCAAAGTTGGCAAAATCGCTAAAAGTTGCCAAATCAACCGTTACAAATGTAATTAAAGTGTTTGGGGAACGTTTGTCGACAGCCAGGAAGTCTGGATCGGGGGGAAATCGAAAACCGGAAGCCGCTGAGACGACAAAGAGAGTTGCCGGTAGTTTCAAGCGAAACCCTAACCTCTCTCTCCGAGATGCCGCAAATAAGCTGGGTGTATCGTCTACAACCGTGCATCGAGCCAAAAAACGAGCCGGACTATCGACTTACAAGAAGGTAGTGACTCCAAATCGCGATGATAAACAAAATACGACGGCCAAAGCGCGATCCCGGAGGCTGTACACGACGATGCTGACGAAGTTTGACTGCGTGGTAATGGACGACGAAACCTACGTCAAAGCCGACTACAAGCAGCTTCCGGGACAGGAGTTTTATACGGCAAAAGGAAGGGGAAAGGTAGCAGATGTTTTCAAGCACATGAAACTGTCAAAGTTCGCAAAGAAATATCTGGTTTGGCAAGCCATCTGTACCTGTGGCTTGAAAAACAGCATTTTCATAGCTTCCGGGACTGTCAACCAAGAAATTTACGTGAAAGAGTGTTTGAATAAACGTCTGCTGCCTTTCCTGAAGAAACACGGTTGTTCCGTACTGTTTTGGCCGGATTTGGCATCTTGCCATTACGGTAAAAAGGCCATGGAGTGGTACGCCGCCAACAACGTGCAGGTGGTTCCCAAGGACAAGAACCCTCCCAACACGCCAGAGCTCCGCCCAATTGAGAAATACTGGGCTATTGTCAAGCGGAACCTAAAGAAGACCAAAAAACTGCTAAGGGCGAGCAGCAGTTCAAGGCAAACTGGCTTTCTGCGGCGAAGAAGGTGGACAAGGTGGCTGTACAAAATCTGATGGCAGGGGTCAAGCGTAAGGCCCGGCAATTCGGATTTGGAAAAGCGGAAGCCTAACTGAATATTTTTCCTGAATTTTATACTAATTGAACTTGAAAAAGAAATTTAATTTGATTTTTTAAATAAACGATTTCACCGATTTACACGCGTTTTCCCTTGACCAAATTTTGACCGTATCACCCTTTATTGTTCTTCTTCCTGTTTTTTTCTGTTGCAATGTTGCAAAATAATCTTTTTGCTTGACATATGGCATCAGTTTGCGTAAATCGTCCAATTTGGCACTTGGCAATTCAAGTGGTTGATCCGCAATTGGATCGAAATCCTCGTCCAAATTCACGCTTGTAATATCGCATGTCGGATTTGACAGAATTTTGAATTAGCTTTTGCCTTGGTGTACTCCTGGAATCGCAATTAATTCGTCAACTCCATACCAGAAGCAGAGCGATTGAGTACAGGCATCGTAAATGAAACTTTCTCATATCCCACTTCCCAGTTAGATGTTGGATCCATAGGAATTTCTAAAACTTCATGTTCATATTAGTATAGCATTTCCAACTAACTATTATGAGTTTTAGTTTTTCTATTCCACGTGAAACACGAGATGAAACAAAGGTCCTAATAGCATTTGTATTTTTTTTTTTGGTTGAATGACAGATTGGACTGTAAACATGTTTAAGGTCCAATCAGAGAGCTGTGCGATATTATAAAAACTTTCAAATTGGACGTTTTTTTCACATATTTTTATAATTTTCTGAATATTGATAATTAAAATTTCTAGAACAATACTTAGAGATGGTGAGCTCTGCAGCACAGAGAAGCATTAAACTCGATTTGTTTACAAATGTCAGATAGGACCTTTTGAAATGTTTATCTAGATATTTACCCAACGCCACCAGCTGGAAAAGGAATTTACGATTACACACACACACACTTCTGCAAAGTTGTTCCTCACAGTTAAGCCCTCGTTTTGGTGTCAATTAATACTAGGGTGGTTCTTTTTATCATTGAAATAAAAAAATCCTTTTTTAGTTGCAGGAATTTGCGATACAAAAAAATAGATCAAAAGAACAAAAGTGTTTATCAACAAAGTTGCTTCAAATTAGCTGAGCTACAACTTTACTTTGGAATGTATACTTTCATTTCTGCAAAGAAAAGAAAAGCTTTTTTTTATTTAGTTTTCCTTGATTTGTTTTCCGTCGGTCTTGTTTTTCGTACTGAGTACTAATCAGCGTTGCCAGATTTACCGATTTATCGGTATTTATACCGATTTCCGAACTAGATACCGATATACAGATAAGGTTCCTAAGAATACCGATTTTTTTTTAAATAATCAAAATTATTATTGCCTGCCCAGGCTCAAATTTCGGAGAAAATTTTTGTTAAAGACTTGTATCTTTTTGAATACCTCATATTTGTTGAGCCTTTAAAATTCTAAACAATCATCTCTAAAGATGCCTTATGCTTGATACTCTTTCGACTAATGTTTGCATTTGCAAGAATCTTCCTGCGTAAGACAGAAAGGTTTGGGACAGTTAGAAGAAACATCTTGGAGAAGCCGGAATAATTGTCCGGATCCTGGTAGTTCCTGAAAAAGTTCTGAACAACGCTGTAAAAAGCTTCAGGGAGAAATTTTCCACTTGGAAAAAAAATCGGAGGGAAGTTAAAAGAAGCTACCGAGAGAAAACGCAGAATTTTCCAGATGATCTCAAAAAACATTCGAAGGAAGACGGAGAACAGGGGCAACCAAAAGGAAATATGGAATGTTGAACAGATATTTTTTGGAAGCATCGCATCGCATCGCAACCGACAGAATTTTTTTGGAAACAATTGTAAAAAGCTTTTGATGATAGTTGGAAAAAGTTTCCGGTAAAAATAAGAACAGCTTCCAAGTGATGTCAAAAGAGCACCAAAAAGCGAATTAGTTGGGCTTGACTCTTTTAGATTTGAATGAATTTTTTTACATATGTTGGTTACTACCCAAAATGACATTTTCCATTAAAAAATCAATTTTTCTGGATTTTATAATGGTGTACGTAAAAAAAAAAAAAGGTTTAGGTATGAGTGGTACCATAGATCCCCTTCTCGGAACGAGTGTATTTTTAATGGACCTGGTCTACGTTTTAAAGTTGGCTTATGTATCATATAAAAGGTAAAATAAGTACAAAAGTTTATTTCATAAAAACAATCTACCCTCACACACGCACCCATTTCATTTGGAAAGCTCCTTAATAACCTGCCCCGCAATCACCAGTCTCTGAATCTCCGAAGTACCCTCGTATATCTCGGTAATTCTTGCGTCCCGGTAGTATCGTTCCGCTGGCATGTCCGACACGTAGCCCATTCCGCCAAGAACTTGCATGCACTGATGTGCACAGAAAGTAGCGGTTTCCGAGGCAGCGAGCTTGGCTTGCGCCGCTTCCTTCGTAAAAGGCAACTTATTGTCCTTAAGCCAAGCGGCTCGCCACGTTAGTAGCCGTGCCGATTCCAGTCTCAGCGACATGTCTGCAACTTTCATCTGAATCGCCTGCAGCTTGGAGATCGGTTTACCGAAGGCAATCCGTTTGTTCGCATAATCTACGGCACATTCCAGAGAAGCTTGAGCAATGCCCAAGGCCTGGCCGGCTACTCCGATGCGTCCTGCGTCAAGTGATTGCATGGCAATCTTGAAACCGTATCCAGCTTCTCCCAATAAATTATCTTTTGGGATTTCACAGTCTTCGAAGATCAGTTGCGCAGTTGAAGTACCTCGAATGCCCAGCTTTTCTTCTTTTTTACCTCGGCTCAATCCTTTTGCGTCCATCGGTACTATGAACGCTGAAATGCCTTTATGTTTCAGGCTCTTGTCGGTTGTCGCAAACACAATTCCATTTCCAGCTTCATAAGCTCCCGAAATCCAACACTTCGTCCCGTTCAACACCCAACGATCACCCTTTAGCTTTGCAGTAGTTGCAGCGGCTCCGGCGTCTGAACCATTCCCGGGTTCAGATAGTGCAAAACAACCAATCTTTCGCCCATCCGTGTATCCCGGTATAAACTTCTGCTTCTGCTCTTCCGTACCGTACTTTTCCAACACACCCAGATACAGCGAATTGTGAATGGACATCGTCACACCGATCACTGGTGAGCCACGTGAAATCTCCTCCATAGCTATAGCGTACGCCATGTAATCCAAACCCGTACCACCGTACTTTTCACTGAGCACGATCGACATCAGTCCCAGTTCGCCAATTTTGGCAATCTGTTCAGCTGGGTAAATATGCTCACGGTCAACTTTTGCCGCAATTGGAAACAGCTCAGCATCCGCAAAGTCCCGGCAGGTCTTTTGAAGCATCTGATGGGTATCGGGTAGAGCTGACAGGCAGGCGATTGACCTGTTGCTGATGGTCCATGACTTTAAACCTGTTAGTGTTTGCCGGATAATTATTTTACCGTCATTTGAGCTCACTCCAGTATACTCACCTAAACGAGTAATTAATCTGCTGTAAATCATTTTTTATTAAAAATTAAGACGAAAAAGTCTTATCAAACTAAAAATAGCACGTCGGAAATGTATTTGAATTGAGCTGGACTCTGCGCCCCGGTCAGTTGAACTGTGTGACACTGCATGTGAATGAACTTGAGGCGTTCGCAGCGAATGGTTTGTTTTTATTTTGCTACTAACATTATCGACGACACTATTGAGACTTTCACATGTATATACACGCGTATCACTGTTAGATATACAGGAATATGCTACAGTGTGCTATATAGTGACCATGTATTCAGTCACGTCTTATGAGTTGATGAGATGTGAAAAATTAGTGCCTTGAGAGTAATTATAATTTCAAAATGAACGATGCCTTCGAAAATTATTCTTTTTATTTAAATCCAATTTGGGGATTTGATCGAAAAATACGATTTTAATTCATTTATTACATTCAGGTATATTATTTTTGCATGTATACAAAATGTCTAGGCACCCATTGGAACATTATAATAATTTTTAAGCAAATTTAAGGATTTGAAGCATCTCTCATAATGGTTTCAGAATACATTAGCTGCTTTTCTTGACGCAAGGGCGCCCGTGTTGTCAAAAAGATCGGTCTCCGAGAAAACGAAAGAGTTAGCCTAATTTTTAATATAAATAATATACAGTCACCCCAGTATTATGGGCCAGCTAACGGGTGTTCAATAAAAAATGAGAATGATTTCAATACCGTCCAGCACTCTTGTGAGAGCTCGCGACTAAGTTGCGTCGTACGGCTGACCAGAGCCCCTTCTCCAATATTCATTGACGTTTTTTTGAAGAATAAGCATTATGTTTTTAATAAAAAATCCTGAATCCGTTGAAAAAAAAAATTTTTACTAGCTATATGACTGAAAAAATTCTCATTTTTTATTGAACACCCGTTAGTCACTATTATGTATCAGTCAGTTCTGCGTGTTAATCAAATGGAAGTGACCCATCATTGTGGGTGGCCCATAATACTGGGGTGACTGTATTTGGTTTCAGGCATTTGGAGTAGGGTGAGAAATTTCCTTTTAATTTCGTTAAAATCGCCTATCTTTTGACTTGCCATGAGCGGCAGATCACATCTTAGACTAAGTCTTAGAGGCTCGATATAAGTAAAATTTAACTATGTGATGGGTGTATTCATAATTTTCAATAGTATTTGAGTTGTAAATTCAATATTTTTTCTACGGCGCTGATTTGGCATCCTGGCACAAATGTCATTGCGCGGATTTTGCGGATTCAAAGTCGGGATTTCTGTATCATCCCTGAAATATGTATTAAGAAATTACTACAGTTTATTTGATGAGTACTTTTACTGTAGTGATATATATTTTATTGGTTTTTATGCTGCCAATTTATGATGCTCAGATTTAATCTAATCTAATCTAATTTAACACCAACACAGCCAGTTCTTGAAAGCATCCTGGAAAATGATGGATATACCTCCACCATTTTTCTTGTCTATTTGATACATGTTTCACATCGAAGATGTGTCACACATATCAAAACGGCCAGGCCAACTGTGCAGCATTTAAGGGGCAAGATGATTCAGAAAACATCGGGCCTGTTTAAATCGAAGATTTAAACACGATTCTTCAGAATCCAATGAATGGATGAAACGTGGACATCTCGTACCGTACTTTCCGATTTTGGTAATTATATGATTGGTTGATCGTTGGAAGTATCAAAGTTAGAAAGGTTAAGTGATGCTCCATTTTCTTCTGACGGTTGGGACATTAGCACTAACTTTTGTCCTAGCTTTTTATGGCTTATGGCTATAGCGCCATTACTCGCTTTCTGAAAAGAGAAGAAGAAGGAAAGGAATAGGAGAAGGACAAAGCGAAAAGGATTATGCAAACTCTATGAACATAAGCAATATTTTGTATTTGAAATATACAATACAGAAATGGATCACGGCGGTGGCCACTACTAGTCTTGTCACTATTATCAAACAAAAAACACAAAAAAAAACATGATTGACCGCCCACGGTTGCTGCTCTGTTATTACCAGATCAGCTGCAATTACACAGAGAACCAACAGATGATGTTTGGGACTAACAGTCATCCTCAATGTGTATGAACTGGAGATCTAATATTTAGCAATACCAGCACCGGCCGTGTTCGAATGCAGGTCAACTAGGGAATGGGAAGGAATGTGTTGACGTGGTACTCGCTGTGAAGGAAACCGAGAAATCCTCTGCGCTTCACGAGAAATCACTGGGATGTTGGATGTGGGGAAAGGTTGCAAAGCACACACAGGGATCGTTTTTGGTAGAGCGATTATAATACACAAACACGCACGCGCACTCATCCAATCTCTATTTTTAGATCAGGACCCCCACTGTGGTAAGTGATGCGATCGGTGTTAAAGAAGAATTTGTTTTCATTAAAATCTAGTGGGTATAGAATAAGGCAAAGTGAAAAATTGCAAGGAAGGGGACGGGCCTGGGATTGAACTCCCGACCTTCTGCTCAGTAAGCAGAAGCGGTAACCACTGAGCTACCGAGCCTCGTCGACTAGTCTTGTCACTATTATCAAGTCATAAAAAGTAACAAGGACTAAAATGTGATCCTTTTATTACTTGGAAATCCTGATTCCGTAGTTTGAAGTTGTCACAACTAGGGTTCGGTGGTAGATCTTACACCAGTAACGCACCACAAAAAGGCGATCCCCCAACGTTACTGGTTTGAAAAGATAAAAATTTACAAAGTGGAACGAACTCACCAAGTTTAGCCAATTGAACCAAAAGGTAGCTTGACATGTGTTGATGTGTTGATCAACATAAACTAGTCCGGTTTATGTATTTGAGCGAAATGTCTCTCCTCGATTTGAGATAAATAATGTTCGGATTTATGTAGTCGCACACTTAGAAATAACTAATTTTACACGTGACGGAATCCATCTTTGGCATAAAAAATGAGACGTAAACAAGCATGTCATGTAATATTACGTACCCCGAGACTAAAAACTTCGTTGCTCGACGAAAAGTACGTTTGATTGAGCTATATTTCGCGTCTGTTATGACTCAAATTTATGTCAAAATTGAGGCTTGTATACATCGCTCTCAGAGCACCTAAATTTATATTAATTTGTCTAAGTGTATGTGATTTGGCAAGCCTTTTTGTGGCCAATTGTCATGTTCAGCGCTGTGACTCAACGCTGAGACGAATAATGGAACAAATCGTGGGACGAACTAGAACTAGATACAATGAGATGCAGCTCTCGCAGGACTTCTTCTGTCCTAATGAACTCTCTGACAATCTAGAAATCGTCTCCTGGGCCTGGTTTTGACGATAAAAAAGAACGATCTCTCCAAGTCTGCACCAAGCCGCTGTGCCAATCCCAATTGTAGATGATCCACTTCTTGACAGGAAGCATGGTTCATCTGTCTGAATTTTCCCGAGTAATGTTCTCCTTTGATAGGTTCAGCGATCCGCCACACCTCCATCATAATATCGGGAATTCACGAGTTCGTTTGAGGCTCCACCTTGGTTTCAAAGCCACTTGTAAAAATACACGCTGCCCGGGGCTCAGAAGCAGCCATTGCAGTACAGCCCTTATGAAAGCGAATTGCATTTAATGGATCCTCCTCTTCCGATTATTTTAAAACACTTTTGTTTATATGAATTTACCAACTACCGATCACAGAATATGCTGGTAACACGCGACATTATTGAAAACTTTTACTTAAATTCAACGGCCCTAAGGGAAAATTCTAACGGAAGCAAAAACGTGACAGCCAAATCGAAAATCAACCACTCTCGAGCAAAGCCTACTATTCAATCCTGCCAATTTATGATGCTGAGATGTAAAATTAAACCATTTTCATTTTTCTTTTAATATTGGAAAAATGCAACATAGAAATTCAATTTCTTCGTGTAAAGAAAGCTTGGAATTATTGACCCGTATTGAATTTACCTATTTTCTTGATTTATATGCTGCCTGCAGGCTTCTTCTTCTTTTAGGCTTTTACGCTTCTGTAACGAGCGTTTTGTTGGCACTCAATTTATTGCTCTAGGTTTCTAGATTGATTTGTCAGTAAAGACACAGTATCACCAATCCGGAGGGGGTTTGACTCCAAGTCCAGTAGAGGGAATCACACAATATACAAATTCATGCATTGGTTGTAAAAACTATGTAAATTGAAACCCGTTTAAGTGTATTCAAAATCGCAATATCACACAATGTTTCATTAGCTTTAATGTACTGGAACTATTTTGTACAAATATATTACAATGGCAAAAGTTAAGTGTCTCCTGGAGAGTTTCAATATGCGTGCCGCGAAAGATCTAAAAAAATACTCTCTTCATAATTTTTAAACCACAATTCAAAAATCGAAACGATAATCAATTAAAATATAAATTTTACTCTAAACATAAGTTATTTTCCCATAAGGTAGGAGTATGAACCGCTTCATGTTTCCTGTAGTAATTCCTATAACACCTTGATAGATTCAGTGCCGTTTCCGGTTGCAATCCAACAAGTTTAAGTTTGGGGATGATAACCAGAATCTTTAGAAAAATTGAACATTTGAACTATCCTAATGTATTATTCCTAATATGTCAGGTTTTCTGAATATAATTCTTTCGCTTATCTTTTTGAAAAATAGCTATAATTAGAACTCGTAATTTTGTTCTACTTGTGGCGTATTCAATTTACAAAAACAATACTACAGTGATTCGTTTATTAATAGAAAAAAGTATGAAATCAAACGAAAACAATTCCTACGACGAAAGTTCTTTGATAATCTGCCCAGCAATCACCAGTCGTTGGATTTCCGACGTGCCTTCGTAGATCTCCGTTATTCTAGCATCGCGGTAGTGTCGCTCGGCCGGCATATCCGATACGTAGCCCATTCCTCCCAAAACCTGAATGCACTGATGAGCACAGAAGGTGGCCGCTTCCGAGGCAGCCAATTTGGCCATGGCTGCCTCCTTGGTGTATGGTTTCTTGTTATCCTTGAGCCAAGCTGCCCGCCACGTTAGAAGTCGTGCCGATTCGATACCCAGTGACATATCGGCAATCTTCTGCTGGATAGCTTGAAGCTTTGATATTGGTTTACCGAACGCAATGCGTTTGTTGGCGTAATCGACGGCACACTCCAAGGAAGCCTGTGCAATTCCAAGAGCTTGACTAGCGATACCAATGCGACCAGCATCCAGTGTTTGCATGGCAATTTTGAATCCCAAACCAGGTTCTCCCAGTAGGTTTTGCTTTGGGATTTCGCAATCTTCGAAAATTAGCTGCGCAGTGGAAGATCCTCGAATTCCTAGTTTATCTTCTTTTTTGCCCAGTGAAAAGCCTTTAGCACTTCTCGGCACAATAAAGGCAGAAATGCCTTTATGCTTAAGGTTCTTGTCCGTCGTGGCAAAGACTACAGCGCTCTCTGCTTCATAGGCATTCGTGATCCAACACTTGGTACCATTCAACACCCATCGATCACCTTTCAAGTTGGCTACCGTGGATGCCGCTCCAGCATCCGATCCATTACCAGGTTCGGACAGAGCAAAGCATCCCACCTTCTTACCATCGGTATATCCGACGATATAATTTTGTTTTTGTTCCTCATTTCCATATCGTTCAACCGGGCCCAGGTATAAAGAATTATTCACAGACATAATCACCCCTGCCGAAGCACATCCACGTGATATTTCCTCCATAGCGATAGCATACGCCAAATAATCCAGCCCTGTTCCACCGTACTTTTCGTCTACAGCAACCGCCATCAGACCAAGCTCACCCATCTTCTCTACCTGCTCGCCCGGGTACAGATGCTCTCGGTCAATCTTTGCCGCTACCGGAATGAGTTCATTATCGGCAAAATCACGACATGTTTTTTGCAGCATCTGATGTGTCTCCGAGAGCGCAGCGAGACTTGCAATTGATCGTTTGTGCCACAAGTTTAATCCTACATAGTCGAAAGTCCAAAGGTTAATTGCTTGTGCTAACTTGTTGATGACTATAGTCTATTCAATGCTAATTTACCTAATCTGGCGGTATTCCTGATGGTAATCATTTTCGAATATTATGGATTGTATCACAAACTGATGGTAGATAAAATTTGAAGCCCTCACAGGCACTTAAATTAGGCAATGAAAATGCAAAAAATCACTGAGATAATAAATATAAATGTCCGAGCCGACTCTTCTTCACACAGTGCTCTACAGATGTCTGACTGGTGCTGTATAGGGCATTCACCGTATCAGTGAGCACTGTTTATATTCGTATAAAACCAATAAAGAGCGAAGCATATTTGTGAGCGCATGGAGGAGATAAGAATGACAGCAAACGAATGCGAGTAGTGAGGAAATATAAATGTGTAAATTGGTGAAGTGTGAGATGTTTGAAATCGAAGTTATAATTCAATTAATATTATAAAGCTATTTTGAAGATTGTCTGATATTGAAAATCAGATGCTAGGATAATTGTTCCCGTTTTGACACAAATTCATAAACGTAATGGTAGCAGTTTCAGCCCTCACATCACATATGCCAATTTTAAGTAGTGTCAAAACTGACGCGCTGCCCCTGCTTAATTTTTTTCCTAATTGTAGCAATGATTTTTGGCATCTTGGATAAACAACAGATATTCTTTTTCTTTTCTTCTTACTCTTCTTCTTCTTTTTCTTTTCTTCCTTTTCTTTTTCTTCTTCTTTATGTGTTAGTTTTCATGCAGATATTTGAAATAATTTGGTATTATAATATACAATATGATTATTTTGACAATATTGGACGTAGCTAGGAGGGGCTCAAAGAGGGGTTGTTTTGTATATTGAAACTCGGTTATCCGCATTGTGTATCAAATTCATTAATTCAAATGAATATATTTATTTTATATTAATTCGAAATATGAATACAGTGGTGACCCGCTTTTGTCAGCTCCCGATTTTGTCAGCTTTTTGACCCGATTTTGTCAGCCTGTAGGATTCAATTAGTTTCGTTTGAGGTGAACTGTTTTCTACACTCGTTGATAGTATTTTATTGATTGCTGGACTCAATAGTGACATTCTTCGAGAATTATATTTGGAATATGGACTCTGAACACCACAGGGTGACCCTCTGGAAGAACCGGGACAACCGTAAAAGTGGTCAATTCATGAAATTGGTCTTAGAGCTTTTTGGTTTTTCAAAAGCACTTGTTGATGTGTTTTAAGAATGAATTACAAGTTGTGACAGGAATATGGCAAGTGGGGCCTCAACATTTTCTTCCTTAACGCGAAACTTACCGCCGCGATTTTTTTTTTGCTCGTTTTGATTTTTCTAAAAATATTGGAAAAAGATGAAAAAATTCAAGAACATCAGTTTTTTCTTATGATTCTTAAAAAATATACTTCTAAATTCATTTTTTTGTTTTTCTCATCATTTGAAAAAATGGATAAAAAATAAAAACGTTAGGTCTATTTTTTCCGTATTTTATACCCATTTTTTTAAAATGATGCAAAAGAAAAAAAATTCGGTAAGTTTTCCGTTAAGGTCCAAAACAAGCGTAAAAGTGGTCAATCCACCAAACTGATCCAATAGCTTCACAGTTTTTTTTAAAGCACTTTTAAATGTGTTGCCAGATTTTTTAAATCTTTATTAACGGAATATGAACCCTTGAGGCCACGAGTTCCAGAACAACCGTAGAGCTGGTCTGAAGACCCAAATATTTTTCGAAAGCTTTTGTTGATGTATTGTCAGAACTAATTCGTAGATATGAATGCAATATTCACCCAGGGGGGTTCCAGAATGACCCTCCAAAAGATCAAGAACAAACTCAAAATTTAAACTTTTACGGTTCTTTCGGATTCTCTTGATAACATATCTATAAGTGCAGTTTCATGAACTGACCACATTTACGGTTTTTTTGGTCCTTCCGGAAGTTCACCCTGTGATCTTCAGGTTCCGTATTCCAGTAAAAACTTCTGAAATAATGCTGGCCCCTTGGGTTCATGTTCCAGTTACAACTCCAAGTCATTCTGACAACACACCAACAAGTTCATTAAAAAAAACGCGAAGCTCTAGGGCCTGTTTCATGAACATACCACTTCTACGTTCGTTCCAAATATCGCGGAAGAACATACTGTAGTCCACAAAGTCTATTTCCCGGTCACAATTTAAATTTCATTCAAATAACCAGACCTGAACATATTCATTACAGCTAAAATACTACTTTTCAGGCCTGCTGATAACACATCAATGACTGCTCTATAAAAACTGCGAAGCTCTAGCCCCAGTTTTATGAATTGGCCACTTTTATGGTTATTCTGGATCTTCCGGAGGGTCACACTGTGGGGGTCACGGTTCTAAATGGTCTGTCAGGTCACGGTTCTAAATAGTTAGGTTTTCTTCGCCTCCGGACGACTTTACAACACCAGCTTCATGAATTGACCACTTTTACGGTCGTTCCGGATATTCCGGAGGAACAAACTTTGACCCTAAATGTTCACCACTTAAAATTAATTATGACAACCATCGAAAAAAAAGACTGTGAAACTCTAGGACCAGCTTCATGCAGCTGTTCCGGAATTTTCAAAGGGTTACCCTGTAACCCCCAGGGTCCATGTTCGGGTCACAACTCCAAATTCATACTGACAACACTTCAAATAAAGCGTGTCCCACATCTTGCATCACGGAAAAAACGCTGTAGAAAATTACCAATTGACTATTTTCTCTTGAAAATTTGGGTAGAAGTAGTTTAGAGTGTATTGTTTTCACAGTATTTTTATCGCTGTCAGTTTTTCGAAAGTTGGAAAAAATGGCGTCAACCGAAAAGCAACGTCGCGAATTGATTTTGTGCAAGCACCTTGAAAATCCTCAACTCTCTCATCGGGACATCGGAAGACAACTCGAAATCGTGCAGTCAACGATGAGTCGTGTGTTTAAACGTTACTGCGAAACTCTGAGCATCGAACGGAAGGAGAAATGCGGTCAGAATGGATGTTCAACGGAGGATCACAAGCGTGTCGTGAAAGCGTTTAAGCGGAATCCCAATGCTTCGGTCAGGGATGTGACCAAAAAGTTGAATCTATACAAGTCTTTCGTTCAGAGAGCCAAGGACCGGGAGGGACTGCATACGTACAAAGTGCAGAAGGCTCCAAATCGTGACGAACGGCAAAATACGGTGGGAAAGTCACGAGTCCGGAAACTGTACACCCCGATGCTGATGAAGCCTCATTGTCTCATCATGAATGATGAGACTTACGTCAAGGGGTAGCTTCCGGGGCTACTGTTCTTCATCGCTCAGCACAAGTTTGAGGTTCTGGAGGAAGTAAGGAAGCAGAAACTTTCAAAGTTTGCCAAGAAATACATGATTTGGCAAGCGATCTGCTCATGTGGCAAACGTTTGTGACTACCGGCACTGTAAACGGGGAGATCTACCTCAAGGAGTAACTACACGGTAACCGCAAAATACCCAATAATCAGGCATAACATTTGATAACGGCACAAAAGCATTTGTAAACAAACTTTCTAAGGCCCTTTACACGTGAACCAAAGTACGCCCATGCAAACCAACAACATCATCGGAAAGGGCAACTATCACCTTTCCGAAAGTGGTATTTGTTTGCGTGAGCGTACTTTGATTCACGTGTAAAGGGCCTTAGAAAGTTTGTTTACAAATGCTTTTGTGCCATTATCAAATGTTATGCCTGTAATGACTACAAAGTAAGCAATTTCGAGGGAAACTGGGACTACCCATTAAATGAGTAAAATTTTACCCATTTATGAGTAATTACAACTACAAAAACAAGTAGTAAGTATTCATTTTTGAGTAGCAAATACTCATAAATAGGTAATATATTTACTCATTGAATGGGTAGTCCCAGTCTCCTTCGAAAATGCTTACTTTGTAGTCATTATTGGGTATTTTGCGATTACCGTGTACAGAAGCAACTGCTTCCTCTGTTGAAGCAACACGAGGGCCCTACGATCTTCTGGCCGGATCTAGTTTCGTGCCATTATTCTAATGTTGTCATGGAGTGGTACAAAGCCAACGAGGTCACTTTTGTACCCAAGGACATGAACCCCCCCCCCCCCAACGCACCGGAACTAAGGCCCATAGAAAAATACTTGGCTATTATGAAGCAGGCACTACGGAAGCATCCCAAGGAGGCCAAATCTGAGGAAGACATGAAGAAAAAGTGGGTTTCCGTACAGAAGAAGCTTGCAGCCAGATGTTGTACAGAACCTAATGAGTGGAGTTAAGCGTAAGGTGCGAGCGTACGGTTATGGTTTTGAAGTTGAATGAAATAAATATGCCAAAAGCCCACTAATGGGTTATATTTTATTGTCTGAAATTTGAAAAAGATCGGTCAACTAGGTAATTTTCTACAGCGTTTTTTTCCGTGATGCAATTTGATGTGGGACACTCTATAAAAGGAAAAGGCTAAAAAACATGCCAAAACAAATGTCCCGATCCCCTAGTAACAATGTCTGGCTACGCCATTGCATCGTACAAATAAAATAACAACTTGGTGACAATTAGAACCAAAGTTAGAATGGAATTTGTGAAATTTTAGCTGCTTTCATAGTAAGGGGTAATTATGTCACACATTTAGGGGGGAGAGGGGGTTTTGAAAACTGTGACGAGCCATACAAAAAAAATAAGGTCGATACAAAAAATGTGACATAAGGAGGAGGGGGGGTTGAAAATGGGCCAAATTTGCGTGACATAATTAATGGACCATCCCTAATCCCCATACAAACTTCAAACCATTTGCGTCAAAATAGCTTGATAAACAGGATCAATATGAAACGCCAATCTTCAAACGCAAAAAAAAAACATAAAATTGTCAAAATTATTTAAAAAGGTGCATGTTTAAAGATATAAAGTACTCCAAACTAACTTGAAACAATAGAACTAGTACAACAACTAATGCTGCAAGCAACAATCAATACGAAACTAACGATTTTAAATTGGCTCACCACTTTAGTAGCCTATTGGTCTCAAGCAAACGATTAACGTACCCTATTCTAGTTGAAATTCTATTACTACACTATGTTTGTTTTGATTCGCTATGAAAGTTTGACAGATAACATCAGGGGTGTGTGGATTCATGTAGAACATGAAGGGGTGAGTGAAATAGCTTGGGACTGCTTGGGACCGTTGTTCTGGTACTGAGTGAGCCAAAAATAATAATGATTTTCTTCGGGACCCAGTGGTCTTAGAGTTACCTCTATGCTGCAAGTCCCGTAAAAAACTCCCGTAGTCCCGTAAATAAAGCTA